AAATACGCCATTTTAGAACCAATAACATTTATAGGTTATTTTAGTTGTATATATTTACACAACCTTAGCCTTAAAATGTGTAGAAATATAAAGAAAACAACATCATTTAAAATAAACTTGAACATATGATTTAAAAATAAAAACAAAACAGAAGTTAGATTTAATTTCGACTCTTTGATTATTTATACAGAATATTTATTCTATGTCGTTTATTCCTTTAACACGACAATAACGTAAAAGCATGAAAAAATGAAACTTGAGTATATGATTTAAATATAAACAAAGAATTTTCCGACTAATCTTCAATATTTCAGTTTTATTATAGTATACATTTCATAGTTGACTGGCTAAAAGTAAACCAAATGCGTGTATTGATCACTGTTTTCAAACCTGTGGCACAGCTGTTTTATTTTCAAAAGATGTAAACAAATTAAACCCCATGTTGTTTTAATGGGAAAAGTTTTATTCTGTTGCGAATTTATGGTAAAAAAATAAGAAAAATGAATAGTTTTCCCTCAAAATTCACGTCAAGACCTTTAAAATAAGACCCCTCCCATCCTTCTACGGCCATCCAGTCACTCACAATTTCTTTACAAAAATTTGACTTACGGAATTATATATATAGATTTAAACCTTTTATTGTAAAAATCTGTGATCCAGAGAATATACCATACAAATGAATTAGGAATGTCATTGAACACCACAAACGAGAAGAAATAAACATTTTTTTAAAGATTTATAATCTTTATTATGGACAAGCTAATGCGGCTATAAGTAAGGCTATTTGTAGAAAACACAAAAAAAACAAGACCAGCTTTTCAAAAATGATCAGATATTTATGTTGATTATATCGATCTGTTAAGTACATCTTGAGTATTTCCATAATCTTTGAGTCGAATCTCTTAAAGTCATCAGAAATTATGACTGTTATTCGTTTTAAAACCACGCCTGTAATACTTAGCAATTGCTCGAATTCGAGCAACAGGTACACTAGTAATAACACATTCAAGGATTTTACATTTCACTAAAATTTATTGTTCAGAGATAAAATGACTCGTGTACTTTACAAAGCAAATTATATTATACCAACAAGCACATGGACTTACGACCTTCAACTAAATAGTCCTCGTGGCTTGAGATATCATTAGGTTGGTCATTGCAGTAATATACTGTATAATTCTTTGACGGACAACAATATGTAGAGAAAACTTTAAACCGATTTCTTGATCAAACTTGATCCTAGACCAGAATGTAATTTCAATATCAAAGATTTGCTTTTCAGTGGGCTTGTAAAAGTTTTTAATACAATTGCAATCAACGTACTCAAAGCTAAAACGTGCTTTAACCATTTAACATATCTAAATGGTATCTTGGTAGTTCACTTGTCATATTTTTGCAGTTTATAATTTGACACAGTCATAACACTTTCACTAAACAGTATTGTAAATATAAATTTTCCAATTAAAAAACTAAAACAGTTTTAATCGTTGTACAATTTGTGACAGCTATGTTACTGTTTGCTAAATATAGTTCAGGTAGTTAACGCATCCATGTTGTGGTAGGTATCAATATTTAAGTAACCATAGCACCATTCTTCAGAAAAATTTGAAACAAAATCAGGAGTCCCACAAGATTCTGTACTAGGTCCAATTTTATTTATCATATGTGTGACATATTCAGGAAAATTATCTTATTTGCTGATGAAACGAACTTATTGCCATCCAGGCAATATAGAGAAGAATTAGAAATTTAGAAAATTAGAAATAAGAAATTAGAAAATTAAATGTTTGGAAGAAGCAATGAACTAGCACAATGTTTTTTTTTTTTTTTTTTTTTTTTTTTTTTTTTTTATATAGAAAAGACGATCAGGCTACTAAGTAGTAGACCATGGGATTGTATTGCAGCTGAACAGCTTATTGTGCACAGTACAATGCTTCATGGAAACCCATTTAGAATATAATGTAAATAAAACAAAGTTTAAGAAATTTTTCAATCAGAGATCAAATAAAAAAAAGATTTCAACTTAAATATTTTAATTGGTGATCAATAGAAAAAGAAGTAGAAGAGGAAGAAACAATCATATTCCTAGAACTTATTATAGACCAAAATTTAAATTTCAACTAATATATTTGGCACTTATCTAAAAGATGTTCCCAAATTATTTGTATACCAAGAAGATTGTATATGTTCTGTAGTGAAGATACGTATTACATACTGTAAAGCATTCGTTAATTATTTCCAACATTAGATATCAAATACCTAGGCCTATAGGGGGCTTAGCTTCATCCAAAACTAAACAAATATTTCAATTACAAAAGTCTGCTTTAAGAATTATTTTTAAATTGAAATAACGCCAATCCTGTGAGATAGTATTAAAAAATTACCAGTTAATTATCTTTTACTCAATATATATTTACGAAACATCACTATTTTGAAAAAACAATTTCGAGAAATTCTGGAACAATTGATGAACTGTGTGTGAATAATTCTAATTGGAGAAAATTACAAATATTTTCTTCTACTTTCCACAAAACAAAGTTAAATGAAAACCATATTCATTACAATGAAAGAAAATTATTTAACAAATTTCCAATTAGTATTTCAAACTTGAAATAAAAAATAATAAACTAATCCTCACTGAAAGGTCCAATCCATTCCATTGAAGACTTCTGTGAAAAATGCATCAACATTAAAAACATGAAATTATTAAGGGTTTGGATTAAAACTAAACCTAAATTAAAAATTAAACTATTGTAATGTCGATATAATGCATATTGTCAAGACAATAAAGTATTATTATTAGTTATTAGTACTATAAGTCAGTAACACCAGTTACACTATTGCTACACAATATCACTAGCCTCTCTCCAGCCAAGACAGCCAGTTCCTCTGTGATTCTGTGATCTCACAGTGAGATTTATGTGTCTAGATCGCCGTCAACCCATTTGTCCTCTACTGATAAATCACCTCTGGAGTACCGAGGTATTTATCAACATGTGCAACGCTTATTATCTGCAACTCTTATTACGATATATGGCTGTATATTTCACTTGCCAACCACAGAAAGATAACTCCATGTGTTAGAACCACAAAATGACAACAGAGAAACATAAATCTCAGTAGTGTTATTCTTTGCACAGTTTTACCACTGCCTAACTTCAAAAAAGTAAAGGAGTCTTTCAAAGATTGATGTTAACAAACTCTATTCACCTTTCTCAAGAGATAAAGGAGTGCAGGAATAAGCAATCAGTTAAAAAGGTAGCTATGGCGGGGGTCATTTGATGCATATTCCGTTTATCATCGGTTTTATTTAATTAAATCTTGATTTAAAACACAGTTATACTAAAGACAGTGAGTAGAACTTATGTTAAAGTTATAGCCAGTCTTATGGTACCTTAAGACCTACCAACCATAAATGTACCTCAAGAGTCTTATGGTGTTAGAAAGACAATTGACGTGAAATTACGAAACCTATAGGATGCTTTGATGAATGTGTTTGATATCTGTCACATAAACTATGATAGTATCAAAAGCTAAGAAATAAAAATGAATCTTATCCTGTACCATATTTTTTGTGCTGCTAAATCACTATGCTTTTTAGTAAAAACAAAATGGCAATTGCAAGTCCTTAAAGATGTCTACCTTGATTCAAAAAATTGTATTATAATACACGATTTCCTCTATTTTGACTATAGGCTACTGATAAATAAAGTGTATGTTCAGCGTATGTTCAGGTACGAATAGACATCATTGACAAGTTAAAATGTGGGCGACTGGGAAGTCGTAGAACGACGGGAGGAGTCTCAAATCAAAGGTCTCGTCCCCGTGACGGCAGGAAAAATGGTGAAATTCCCCAAATGTTAACACAAATTAGGTTTAAGGTCAAATGTTCTCCATAAGAATAGCAGAAGTAAAACCACCATTTGTGATGGAATATATTTGAATTCTACACTAATAATATATGCGATCCTGCGATAGTGGTGTGGGCAAGGCAAGCCCAGGCACGACATATGCAGTGTCACGACGCCGCATCTATACAATACGACGCACGACCTGATATTTTTACCTTTATATAGTGTAGGTGTAAATGACTTGCCCAGGCACACTACGCGATATCTATATAATACAACGCACAACAGGACATTTTTACCTTTTTTATAATGTAGGTGTAAATGACTTGTCCAGGCACACTACACGTCATCTATACAATACAACGCACAACAAAACATTTTACCTTTTTTATAATGTTTATAATGTATAATGCGATATTTTAACCATTATGTAGTGATAGTGGTGTAGAGGTAAATGACTTGCCCATATCCAGGCACACTACATGACATCTATACAATACAACGCACGACGCGATTTTTTTATTATTATATAGTGATAGTGATATGTAGATATATAGATTATATAGATATTTTTGTGTCTGTGTAAAACAGTATTCTTATTTTGGACTTTACAAGAGTGGCATTCGATAATTTAATTTATCAGTGTCCATTTCCTATCATTTAATTGTCTTGTGAGAATTGTTTTACCGAAGCTTATTATTCAAACATTCGCATGTGTGCAGCATTGACAGTAACTCACGTGTTTAATTGCAAACACAAAATTGTTTCTGCCGAATAAGCCGATTTTCTCTTTCACTAATCCTATAACGCAGGGCTTGGTAATTTCTCCAATCTGACTTAATACCAAAATTTCCCGATAGATTTACAGTGTTTGCCAAACTTTATGGAAATAAATGTACGGACAATTTATAGCTTTATTTAATGGCTATGCTAAATATGCGTTTACGTTGTCGTATGGCGTCGTTGTAAATAACTGTTAGGTAAAGTCAACGTTGTTAGCATAACACCTTGGAGGACCCCTGTAGCGAGGTCGACTCTGAGGATGGGAGCGAGGACTGTCAACAATATACAGGACTGCAACGAACAAACGCAGGCTAAAAATCTTACAACACTTTAATGTACAAGAGCAAACTACTGTAACGATAAAACAACAATTATACAAAATGAGACTAACTACAATAAATAATTTACACACTTATAAGAAAGACACTTTGATAACACCCATCTTAAACTAAAATAGGAACTTGTTTGTTAAACATCTTACATTTGCTTTTTCCTTAAAGTTTTAAACTATTGCTACCATAATATATATTACTAAATTTGTTAAGTACTTTGCTAAACAACATAAATGTATTATATTTTATCGTATACATGCCATAGGATACGAAGTTTAGATAGGATTCGTTGTAAGTGTAGATCGAGTTTGTAACGAAACTTTAAGCCCTTTTAAAATAAACGTTGGTTCCCATATTTAAAATGAAGCATATTTCACTAGTATTTTGTTTATGAATGAAATAATAGCTCTAATGCTTAAATATCAAGTTGTAATTTTCAAAATCAATAACGATGGTACTGTTAAGTCGTTTTAAAATATTACCTCTCTATTAGCTCCAGACAATGGAGGGTTTATAAACTAGGAATTGATTAATAACAGAATCCACCACACTCCGGTGTAACAAATCAGTTACTATCAATTGGAAACAACATATAGCCAAGGGGTAACGTAAGTTATAATAGTTTCTAGAAAGGTATCATATATCAAATTGAATGGATGTGGTATCAGTTCCCAACCAATTTGAACAAAGCTAAAATACATCTGATTTTTGTCATTAGTGTAAAACCTTTTAAACTAAATCTGTAAAAAGTTGGTTCACATGATCTTCTGCGGCCCCACATCTTGTTTGCCTAGGTGGAGTTCCTAGACCTTGCTTCCAGCCCTAGTTACTACATTACGTACCGTAAACAGGAATGCAACAACCGATCTTGGAGCGAAAGTTTGTTTGAGCTTCCTAAAAGGTTTGATTTACTCCTTATAAAACTATTATCATTTCGCTACCTAAAATAAAGTATAAATAATCAGGCATATTCTATATAGATTTGGTTTGATTGTATACATACCTAATTCTATTGATTGTCAACTAATATCTTAATTTAAACACTAAATAATAAAATTGCACAATGATGATTTAACAAATTACAGAGTTTTCACCGTTAAAGGAAGTAAGACATAAATGTTCTGGGTGCAGTTTTATTATGTCCCCTTGTTGTAAGAACATTTTGTATTGCTTTTTAAGGTTATATAAATATCTTCTTGGTGGAAACGTATCGTACATTGAAAGGTTTATTTTCTATCTACTAACCTTTCACAAGATAATGCGTAAAATTGTAATACTTTTACCAAATAGTTTAACATAAAAAGTGTCCAATTGTGTATGATCACTATAACAACTTAATTCCACGTCCAACATTTGAAACCTTACAAAACAAAAACACTATGTACTATACTTAAAGCTATTATCTTACCCTGTATTTGTAAAACCACGTACATTCATCTATAATAAATAGTATTAAAATACTGACAGTTTTCCACAGAATATTAGGCTATTTAATTCTTCGGGTAAAGGCAGATGAAGGTATTTATAACTACAACCTTAACACCTTATTCTCTGTACACACTGGCATTCCGTTCTTTAAAGATACTTATTTTGAGATTTTCTGTTGATTTTGTGTTTTGTAAGAGTCCTAAATATCCAACAGTTAACTTGGAATAAAGAGCTTACTTATTGTTAACCCAATACGAGTTTTACACAAACAACGTTTTTAATTAGTTTATTTTATTACCAATATTTCTTACGGTTTTGAAAATGAATTGCCAACCATATGCTTGAGTAGTTTTTAAGAGTTCCAGTGTGACTGTCCCTTTATCCGCTCTCCACCCGTACTGTACTTAACCTAAAAGTGTCCTCTATCTCCGAGGCTTGAGCTTCTTCCTGGTCGTCTTCTTCTTGTGTCGCGGCTTGCACGGAATGTTGCTCTTGTTGCCCACCAGTCGCCGCACTATCTTGAGCCAGTCGTCCAGGAACGTCTGATAGGCCGCCAGCACGCCCCAGTCCTGGATCAGACCGCCAGTGTGGTCTGGCTGTACGTCCCAGATCATGTTGTATCCTGCCTCAGCACTCAGCCGCGACGGCAGTTGCAGCCCTACGTTCAGGATAGACGTCTCCACCTCACACAGAAGCTGGAACATACAACTACTGTAAAAACTACACTAGAACCTTTCACTAGATGTAAATTCACCATCATAAAATAGACAACATTGCCAGGTAGCAATCTTACCTTCTTGCCCTGATATCAGATCTCTGCTAACAGGTATCTTCGGGTGTAGTAGATCTCTTGGTGTTATTGTCTTACCTGCTTGACCTGATATCAGATCTCTGCTAACAGGTAACTTCGGGTGTAGTAGATCTCTTGGTGTTATTGTCTTACCTGCTTGACCTGATATCAGATCTCTGCTAACAGGTAACTTCGGGTGTAGTAGATCTCTTGGTGTTATTGTCTTACCTGCTTGACCTGATATCAGATCTCTGCTAACAGGTAACTTCGGGTGTAGTAGATCTCTTGGTGTTATTGTCTTACCTGCTTGACCTGATATCAGATCTCTGCTAACAGGTATCTTCGGGTGTAGTAGATCTCTTGGTGTTATTGTCTTACCTGCTTGACCTGATATCAGATCTCTGCTAACAGGTAACTTCGGGTGTAGTAGATCTCTTGGTGTTATTGTCTTACCTGCTTGACCTGATATCAGATCTCTGCTAACAGGTAACTTCGGGTGTAGTAGATCTCTTGGTGTTATTGTCTTACCTGCTTGACCTGATATCAGATCTCTGCTAACAGGTAACTTCGGGTGTAGTAGATCTCTTGGTGTTTTTGCCTTACCTGCTTGACCTGATATCAGATTTCTGCTAACAGGTAGCTTCGGGTGTAGTAGATCTCTTGGTGGTTTTGCCTTACCTGCTTGACCTGATATCAGATCTCTGCTAACAGGTAGCTTCGGGTGTAGTATACCTCTTGGTGTTATTGCCTTACCTTCTTGACCAGATGACTGATATATGCTAACAGATCTACTGTTTTATGCTGATAGTATGCAGATCTACTAAAGTAGATACTGATCTACTTCGGGTGTAGTAGATCATTTGGCGTTATACTCTTACCTTCTTGACCTGTTATCAGATCTAAGCTAACAGGTAGCTTCGGGTGTAGTAGATCTCTTGGTGTTATCGTCTTACCTTCTTGACCTGATGGCTGATCTCGGCTAACAGATCTACTGTGGAACGGTGATAGTATGCAGATCTACTGAAGTATGCTGATAGTATGCAGATCTACTAAAGTAGATGCTGATCTACTTCGGGTGTAGTAGATCTCTTAGTGTTATTACTGTAGTATGCTGATAGTATGCATATCTGCTGAAGTATGCTGATAGTATGCAGTTCTACTAAAGTAGATGATTATCTACTTCGGGTGTAGTAGATTATTTGGCATTATTCTCTTACCTTCTTGACCTGATGGCTGATCTCTGCTAATAGATGGCTCCGGGTGTAGTAGATCTCTTGGTGTTCTCCGTGGTGTGACTCGCCCCCGTAGCGACGCAGGTCCTCAAACGTAGCTGAGAAGTTCTGCAAGGCTGAGTGTAGACTGGGCAGCAGTACCTCAACCTGCATTGGATCAGAGGAATACAAGTGGGAATACATAAGTATAGCTTACATAGATATCTAATACAAATGTTAGTAGCTAGACAAAAAAAAATGAAAAAAATAGGTTTATAAAACTTGAACAGATTGAAATTTCTGATCGTTTTGGTTGGCAAGTGGATATATTTGTTATATCATCGATTGTTTGAAATTCTTTACAACCCCCTTCTCCATTTAGATTATGTAACACTTATTATTTTATTTACACATATACTGTATTAACCGGAAACTTTTATTGTTAAGTATATTTAAAATGGTGATAACAAGAAACAATATTGGTTCCAACATGATAAAATGGAACTCTCCTTAGTTTAAAAGAGTCACTTAGACTTGCACACGTAGTCATTGAGATCCTAAACTCTTAAGTTCTAAACTATGGTTTGGTAAGTTTACATGCTTCTATCCTATTTTAACAACATTTATTGCTGATAGTTTTTGATCCTGTATAGTGTGTAATCTTTATAAAACATCCCACTCACCTCATGAATAGCTAATATTTCTAAATTAAACTACTAACTCATTGAAGTTTGCACAGTAGGCTTAATAGCACAACTTTATGGGCAATAAATGTTTTGAAAGGATGACATAGAGGCAGTTATGTGAAAATGGAGTTAGCATGTAAATGTTGGGATAATTTATAGGTACTGCATATAAATAGAGTGTAGGCTATAAATAAAAACCCGGGTAAATTGTAACCCCTCTATGTGTAAAGTTACCTTAGATTTCTTGTCCAGACACTTGATAGAGTCCCGGTACCAGGCCAGCTGGTTTCCAGGTAGCCAGTCGTATTCGAACTCTTCCTTTAGTAAGTTCTTCACCTTGAAAATAAATATAATGTTACCTCAAGTAATCAACGATTGAGTGTGACTGAAAATACAATAGACGTACAAGGTTAAAACGTTAGGTTTTGTAATGTTTTTAAATCTCAGTAGATTAACGTGGTTAACAGATTTTTTAAATGTGCAGCACTTAGCAAAAATTAAGAGTGGTTTATAAAACGAAATCAGGCAAGTAATAAAATTAATTTAAGCTTATGATAAGTTAAGTTTGACATCATGGCTAATAATGTAACTCCTCGTTCTTCAAGAGACCACATTAATCCTTATTTACTCTCGGTCTGACACAAAACCAGTTTTTGACTTGGTTGGATGACAGGATTCCTGTGGGGTAATGTGCTGAAGCCACTTACATGCCTAGAAAGACAATCAGCAGTGGCAGGTTCTGAGCGTCAACTCATTTGCAATTTCAAGTCAGCTTGGATTTAGTCCACTGACGAAAGGATAATAATGCCGCTTATAGGACGCTGGTATACCTTTTACTTAGCCTTACCGGCCGTAAATAACATCTCTTAGAATAATTGGCCATGATTACAAATGTGCATGCATGTTTTGGCCCATATGTACACTAATATTAAAACATAAACATTATGGATCATTGGCATAAACAACCGAAACTGTCCCGAATGTCCATACTAATAGCTGTAACAGCTGGTTTTACGTATCAGAATGAATTACCTGTACATTCTTAACAGCAAAGTACCGAAATCGATGGACAAGATTTATTGGATATTGCCTTTCAGAACATTTTACATCATCCTGGGAGATAGGCAACAAATAACCCGTTGTACAATGTGGGTCCAATTTATTTTTCAAAAAATAAATATGTGGGTCACAAATTGTACTAAAATGCAAATTTGGAAATCTTCTAGGTAATTTTCTGTTTCGGTAATTTTGTATATGAAGCTACCGTAGCTATCCTACAATTGCATATGCCTGTAGTAGTCCAAAGATTACTTTAAAGTATTACACGACAACCTTTTGAAATGAAGATGTGTTTGTTAAGGCCTTGGCATATACATTACAGCATGGATAAATAAAATTCATTCATAATAAGCTACAACAAAATTATTAAAACCAATATAAAATACATTTCTGTATTAGGATTCTTCTAAATTAAAGGTTATTGTTGTGTTGAAGAATGTTTCAAAAATGAAATAACCACATTGACTAAATAATAAACGATTCAAGATTAAATGGAAAACTTCTGCTTTGTTTTGATTTTAAAACATAAGTTATGTTAAAGATTTATTCTACACGTTTTTGTAAATTTAGGTAACTACATTTATATTTGAGATTTACTGTATTGTTTAATCAATATTTTGTATGAAGTGGAATAACCTCAACGGTTACTTTTAGAAAAACAACCTGGAAATAAAGATGAAATAGGTCCGTAAACGTATTTGTTTATTTGGTAAGTACTATGGCAAGTTCCAATAGGTGAAAAACAATATTATTTGGAGTAGATTTTAACCAGGTACTGTACTGCCTGTTGCTCCAAGCAAATGAGGTTTTAAATAATATAGCCTAGCACGGTAGTAAAGGGAGCGTCCATATATAACTCAGTAAAACCTAGAGGTAGTTCCCGTTTCTTAAAACTAACCAAAAATATAACGTTGAAGATGTTGATGAAAAGTAATTTAGTGAATGGCTTCGATAACTGCGTAATGGAACCCTAACCAGTCGCAAAATAGTTAGTAATCAGGCGTTGATTAGGCCCTTTTTTGATAAAATATGTAAAGTCAATCCACATTTAGGAGGATTACCACCTCATAAACTTACACTAGGCTAATAGTAGTTTTATTAATGTTGATCAGAAACAAATCTAGGGTTAAGTTTGGTCAATGGGATGGCCTTACTACACAATAATTTTGTTAAACCTTTACAAAAGGAGCATAAACCTAGAAATAATAATTGGATCGGGTTTAGTGGTTTTGACCAAGAACTAAGCTTATTTCAACACACCTTTATTCATCTTTTCATATTTGACCACTACATTCAGGCCAGTGACGAAATTTGTTAATGTTTATGATCCATGCCATTTCGGATCTACTATTCGTGTATGTATCTCGTTTTGTTTACAAACTATTACTCGCATGTGTGTGATCCTTTTAGATACCTGGGGACATGTGTCTACATCAGGAATAATACCCTGATTACTGTATCTGTGTTTAGACTTGTCATACTGACCCCAGAGTAGACGACAGCGATGTCCCGCTGAAGGAGGCCGCTGCGGAAGTGGTTGTAGGCTATCCTCAGTTGGGTGCGTACACGTCTCAGCGGCCTGGTGCTTGGGTGACGCAGACCATCAGGGGAGATCTCGTTGTTCTCGAGAGCCAAGTTTAGGTAGCGTTTGCGGGCGAGAATGCGGTTGCGAAGACCGCACGGGTTCTGCCACACGGGTGACGGCGTGGGATGACTGCACGTCTTGGCCCTACAGGAGAGGAGACCGTCCGCCAACACGGAGGACGCGAGCATGATTACCAGAGGGACCACAGTATTGCTCCTCTCACCCCTACCTGCAAATATAGAATATTCTGTCAGATATAACACAGTGACCAGAGAAACCATAGTATTGCTCCTCTCACCCTTACCTGCAAATATGGGATATTCTGTCAGATATAAAACAGTGACCAGAGAAACCTCAGTTTTGCTGCTGTAACTTTTACCTCCAAATAGGTATGGGATATTCTGTCAGATATAATACAGTGACCAGAGAAACCATGGTATTGCTCCTCTCACCCCTACCTGCAAATATAGAATATTCTGTCAGATATAAAACAGTGACCAGAGAAACCTCAGTTTAGCTGCTCTCACTCTTACCTCCAAATATGGGATATTCTGTCAGCTATAATACAGTGACTAGAGAAACCATGATATTGCTCCTCTCACCCCTACCTGCAAATATAGAATATTCTGTCAGATATAAAACAGTGACCAGAGAAACCTCAGTTTTGCTGCTCTAACTTTTACCTCCAAATATGGGATATTCTGTCAGATATAATACAGTGACTAGAGAAACCATGGTATTGCTCCTCTCACCCATACCTGCAAATATAGAATATTCTGTCAGATATAAAACAGTGACCAGAGAAACCTCAGTTTAGCTGCTCTCACTCTTACCTCCAAATATGGGATATTCTGTCAGCTATAATACAGTGACTAGAGAAACCATGATATTGCTCCTCTCACCCCTACCTGCAAATATAGAATATTCTTTCAGATATAAAACAGTGACCAGAGAAACCTCAGTTTTGCTGCTCTAACTTTTACCTCCAAATATGGGATATTCTGTCAGATATAATACAGTGACTAGAGAAACCATGGTATTGCTCCTCTCACCCCTACCTGCAAGTATAGAATATTCTGTCAGATATAAAACAGTGACCAGAGAAACCTCAGTTTAGCTGCTCTCGCTCTTACCTCCAAATATGGGATATTCTGTCAGATATAAAACAGTGACTAGAGAAACCACAGTATTGCTCCTCTCACCCTTACCTGTAAATATGGGATATTCTGTCAGATATAAAACAGTGACCAGAGAAACCACAGTATTGCTCCTCTCACCCTTACCTGTAAATATGGGATATTCTGTCAGATATAATACAGTGACTAGAGAAACCACAGTATTGCTCCTCTCACCCTTACCTGTAAATATGGGATATTCTGTCAGATATAATACAGTGACCAGAGAAACCACAGTATTGCTCCTCTCACCCTTACCTGTAAATATGGGATATTCTGTCAGATATAATACAGTGACTAGAGAAACCACAGTATTGCTCCTCTCACCCTTACCTGCAAATATGGGATATTCTGTCAGATATAATACAGTGACTAGAGAAACCACAGTATTGCTCCTCTCACCCTTACCTGCAAATATGGGATATTCTGTCAGATATAATACAGTGACTAGAGAAACCACAGTATTGCTCCTCTCACCCTTACCTGCAAATATGGGATATTCTGTCAGCTATAATACAGTGACTAGAGAAACCATGATATTGCTCCTCTCACCCCTACCTGCAAATATAGAATATTCTGTCAGATATAAAACAGTGACCAGAGAAACCTCAGTTTTGCTGCTCTAACTTTTACCTCCAAATATGGGATATTCTGTCAGATATAAAACAGTGACTAGAGAAACCACAGTATTGCTCCTCTCACCCTTACCTGTAAATATGGGATATTCTGTCAGATATAAAACAGTGACCAGAGAAACCACAGTATTGCTCCTCTCACCCTTACCTGTAAATATGGGATATTCTGTCAGATATAATACAGTGACTAGAGAAACCACAGTATTGCTCCTCTCACCCTTACCTGCAAATATGGGATATTCTGTCAGATATAATACAGTGACTAGAGAAACCACAGTATTGCTCCTCTCACCCTTACCTGCAAATATGGGATATTCTGTCAGATATAATACAGTGACTAGAGAAACCACAGTATTGCTCCTCTCACCCTTACCTGCAAATATGGGATATTCTGTCAGATATAATACAGTGACTAGAGAAACCACAGTATTGCTCCTCTCACCCTTACCTGTAAATATGGGATATTCTGTCAGATATAATACAGTGACTAGAGAAACCACAGTATTGCTCCTCTCACCCTTACCTGCAAATATGGGATATTCTGTCAGATATAATACAGTGACTAGAGAAACCACAGTATTGCTCCTCTCACCCTTACCTGCAAATATGGGATATTCTGTCAGATATAATACAGTGACTAGAGAAACCACAGTATTGCTCCTCTCACCCTTACCTGCAATATAGAATTTTGCCGGAACTTGCTTCAACCGTCTGTTACATTTAGAGTCTGTAATGTTGATATGTCACTTTAGAATATAATAAATACATGTTTACAAAATCACAGGCAACCGCACTCGCGTTGTAGCGTAGCTTACACGTCATGCTGTAATGGAAAGTAAATAAATCAAAATATAAAGATTAATGATAATATGGGAAGAATTACGACAGCAATAAAATAATATAACATACTGACACTGTAATAGTATATTACGTTACTAGTCCTGAAAATAGGTGTTTACCGGACGAGTGTGGTCGTTCCTGTGCGAGACGAAGTCGAGTATGGGATTACCATACGAGTCTGGTAAAACACATTTTGGACGAGTGACGTACGATATTTTACGCCATACTACTAAATCTGTACAAATCCTTATTTATTACCACCGACTAAAGGGCTAACAACATTGACTTTATATAGTCAATGCTAACAATCACTAGTCGTAACCTCTAAGAGAGGTTATGTTTTTGTTTATAAACTAACCATAGCCAACCACTCTCACTCATTGCCAAATACAGTATATAATCAGCTGATTGGTGTCCAGTAAAACTCATTACAGTACAGTAGTACGCAATGAAACCCTATTTGATTAAGCTGACGGCAAACAGCTGTTTTCTGGACTAAATCCTTGCGTGAGAAGTTTGTCAAATCAGTGTAAGTGTGGCGTAAAACAATAAACCATCTGATTTTGTAGTAGCGTGTGTACTAAAAACGTGATAATTTAGGATTGTAAAAAATTGTATCACCACACTAATAACCAAATACCAAGATAAAGTTTTAGACCTTAAATATAAGCAATATAAATAATGAAATAAGAAATATGTACGGTATTAATAGTTTGTTTTTAGGGTTTCAATGTTATTAGGAAATTGATACTTCATTTACTAATTGCCATGTTAATTTTGCCTAATGAATTGCGTTGTTTGCGTTTTAGGTCAAGAGTAAAACTCAAAATAACTTATAGGCCTAAATTAACTTCTAACTAACGTAATAACATTTTCAGAATGAAGATCTAATTTGTCTAAAAACATGAAAAATATTCATATGTTCTCCTATTGAGTTTAATGATAATACAATTTTCCAATACAAATAGATCACAACTTGTACAATTTCATATATTTATTTATCATCCTAAAAATAAACAGTATATGTGTTTCAAGTTTTATTGGATGTACTTTTATTTGTTTTCCGTAAGGAAAACTCCTCAAATTCACACAAAAAATGAATATAAGCGTAGATTTTGCAATCCCGTTAATCCCGTGATTAAAAGACACCGATCCCGGGATTTATAGGTAAGTTACCAAAAATCTACCGGGATCCCGGGATTGAGAGCCCTAGCTGCGATATTTCTCAGTTGTTAGCTTTGATCTTGGACGCCATGTTATCGTTTCCAACCAAATTTTAATATTTTGAGGTGGGTCGACATTTGAAAGTCCATTGAAAAAGAAGCTTACAAAAAAGGTTAGGCACACTAAGATTGGTAAGTATTGATATGCTCAAGCACTTTTTTTAGGTCATAAGTGAGACAGCAACGTTTCATTAATTTGTCTATGGTTTCATAAACAATAATTATGTTTTTTCTAACAAAATCAATCGGCTACACTGCTCAGGATTAAATGGCCGTGGTGTGTGGTGTGTGATTTCTAGGAAAGGTTATTATACGTTTCGGTGATATTCGGTGGCCCCCAAAGTCACCAGATTTGAGCGTGTGTTTATATATATACAGGGTGTTCATTTGAAAACTTTCCATATCTGTTGTGTGCAAAGGTAAGGCTTTTAACACTTGTTTGTTCTCAATTCCCCCTAATTTGGACATGCCAAATCCAATAAAATTATTTTCAATTTTGAAAAATGCCCCAAAAGGGCCCAATTTGGGGGGTAGGGGTGCTTTTTGAGAAATTTTCAAATGTAAACATGGGTTGTGTGATACATCAATTTAAAGCTCTAATCACCCCGATCATTTTGGTGCAAAAAAAGTTTAATTATCTTTAACCGTATTTACAGGGTGGGTCAAAACGTTTTAAAAAAGGACTTTGAAGTTAAGTACCGTATTAAACTAACTACTGAACGGAACAGCGCCAAATTTCTTTCCAAGCTTATTCTTGAGCTACTCTTTAAGATAACTTGTAGTAAAGACATTTTTCATGTTATTTTCTAATTTTAAAAAAAATCTCAAATTTTAAGAATAAAAGAAAGCTGAAAACTCAAAATTCTTAAATAGCAAGGTATGACAAATTCCATACCACGTGAAAGGTCCTTTTTTAACAAACATTTTACGTATTTAAGTTTTCTTTCTATCTCTTATCGTTTAAAAATTGAAGTAGAAAAACATAATTTTCTATGGTAAAATTGTAACTAGTTTTCTAATAAAACAGCCAAAATTCGTCTCTAGACACATTAAATGGTGCAATAACTGAAGGAAAAAATTCATTATTATTTTTAGGCAGATAGGCAAACAATTCATTACGTTTTACTTTGTGAAAAACAAGTTTTATAGCTGATGAGAAAAACCCAAGCGTGGGCCGCTTTCTGTAGTACCATTGACTAGTCAATGGTAGTACTAATTTCAAAAATACCATTTCCTGTAGTACCTAATCAAATATGGTGTAAACTTAAAAAAATAGACTTTATTTTTACTTATTGGTCATAACAAAAGTGTTCCAGGATAACTGCAAAGTGTTTAGCAATAGATATCTAGGTATAA